GCCTCATATCTTGCTGCCTGATGACTGTTTTTGGCCTGTATGCATCCCCGGCTCCAGGTGGAGTAAGAAGGCAACTGACGGCTTCCGAGAATTCCTCACGTAGGGACGAGTTTGGCAAAATTTAGGGATGGCTGGATTTGGTCTCCGGTTTCTTATGCGTACGCACTTGTTGACAAAGTTGCGCAGGTAGTCACAGGCTCTCAGTAAACGTTGAATATATTATAATTCTTTCCTTTAATTGCAATGCGCCTCAACGCACCGTAATAACGTCCTTACGCAAATGTATTTGCGACCACTCGGCATCTAACTGTTGAAATTCAGTAATTGCATTGTGTTTGTCGCTTTCCTGAACACTATGGGTTTTAGCCTCCACAATCTTTGTGACAAACGATGACTTTCAGAAAGGCCAGCTGGTTGTCTTCTCCTTTTGGGACAACGGCGGTGAGACCTTCTTTGAATGCCTACACCTAATCCCGTTCGATTACGATGAACGCATCCCCCACATACGGAGCCTAAAATTTCGGTCTGTAATGCCGGAAAGCCAGCGACTCAAATAATTCTAAGACTTTATCGGATATAAGTCCTGAAATCGGCTAGCACACTTGCATGCCGTTCGCTTGCCTGCAGATTGTTCCACGGAAAGTACTGATGTCTTGTGACCGGACTTCATGAGTTGCATGATTTGGGCGAGTCTGAGACGATTTTCCGTTTTATCATGTTCCTTTCGTAGGAGTAGATTGAAGGTCTTAACTGCCAGTTCCTGTGGAATAGACGTAAAATGAACGTAACACCTCATTTTCAACGAACTTTTTACATGTTTAGGATTTCTGTTTTTTTCAAAAAATACCATTACCCAATAAGGTGATAATTCCTTTCAAATTCTTGAGGTTTTTGTTTAATCTTACATCATGGATTACTGTGTTGGAGTTTTGGTCAATTTATTTGAGCTGGATTACGAGTTACAACACATTATGCGTAAAACTAGGAACATTTTATGTAAAAGGGCATGTGCGGCATTTGGTGGCGAATTATATTTTCATGAGGTGGTCCATACATTAATACCGGCGAATCACAAGCCTTAAGCAGTAAATCAGGAGAAAATCGGATGAAAGAATATACGAGGAAATGCGAGTGTGATAGCGACTCGTTCATCTTCGAATGCTCATCGTCTTCACAGCCCCAGTATAAACGGTAGACTACAAAACCAACACAGAATACGTCGGCGTGTACGTTTCCCTCTGATAGAACGGCATAGATGCCAGAATTAGCTACCAGCGGGGCGAGGTACCAACGCGATATTGCGTCCGATAAATCGTGAACAACCACTTATCAGAAGTGTTACTCCGTCCTCTTCGATAGCGAAATACCGCGCATGAGAACAGATCCGCTCCGCAGCATCGATTTTGTCTGCATGCCTAAGCCATTCAGCGCATTGCTCAAAAAGGAGGGACACTCATGCATCTTATCAATCGATTCTTAGGCAAAGTAACCATGTGAAATGCACGCTCACCCCCGGTAGCAACCATTAGGCACCTACTTCAATAAAACCCATGAGCATTGCTCCTTTGAGGTAGCAGCAGCTTGTCAACCTGATCGACACAGACTAAGGGGGTATGGAGGTGCAGTCTTGTTGGGAGGGGCCATTTTACGTCACCAGTACTGCGATGTGATAGCTTCACTTGCCGTCTAGTTACTTCTTATGTTTATTTAAAGGGTATTTTCAGAATGTGATTACGAACTCAAATTACCGATGCAGGAAAGACTGAAATGTAGGCAAAAAATCAATACGTACTAACTGTAGTCGATAAACCTGCGTCAATCAGCCAAAAGAACACAGACGTGATGACGTCTTTGTAGCATATGTCGGTCCAGGCATATCCATCTACTGGCATTTACAACAGACTGAAAATTGTGTTGCAACATTTACTCTTAGTGATGATATGAAAACTCCTGTCTTGACTTGGAAGGCAACTGCAGGGGTAAAAATGAGATGGAAATAGAACCGGTAAAAGGCCACTGCTCACGACACCGATCCCGAACTGATATAAGCGCAGTATTAATTGTAGGATATTCCGCGACTACTGCATGCTGAGGACTGCTATTTTTTCGTAATTAATATAACTCACATGCGCTTACTTCATTACCTAAAGTGAACCAGTCACTTTAATCACCGGATATATATCACCCCTCGTTCAATTCAGTAAACTGGTTTCATGTACCATGCACATTCTACACCTAGCACGTAAAGGCCAACGGAAGTGTGAGGCATTGTTATTTACAAATTACTTTTATGTTTTGACCTATGTTCTGCGCAGTGTTGTTGGGAGACTACTGAGAAGAGCGCCAGTGAATCAGCATTTATTACAGAGTCGATAGTGCTTAATGTGTTCAGAAGATCTGTTAAGACAGCGTTGCTGGTTCATTTAATGAAACTTAACGACTTTCACACGTGCACAAAAAGGATATTTTTGGCCGCACATTCGTCCATTCGATGGTAGATGCAACACGTCATCGGCTTGGTGATGGGTGCTCGCGTCACGCAGGAGATTGTCCGTCTGGCTAATCGTTTCTTGTCCCGAAAGATTTCGGAACAGTTGAGTCCCTGAAGGACAAAGGCAGAGCCTATTTCACTAATACATGTTTCACACTGAGAGTTCTCGAATAGTCAACGGCTAAAAATGTTGCTAGTGATGGATGAGCTAAGCTTAATCTAGTGGGGTGTCAGTGGAATAACTCCGTCGACGGTAGCTTAATTGCGGTGAATGTCCCTGCAGAGTTCAGTTAGCTGATATTTTGGTCGTCGCCTATTTGCTCAGTGTCTGCTCTGCTCGAAAAATTCATCAGGATATCTGTTGACTGTGAAGAAGTTTTGCAGTTATTTTCATTTACCTTCTTCTACTATGGACGCGTTGCAATGTGCTTTTGCTTTTTGAAATTGATGACGAAAAGATTCGCGTTTCCTAGGCAGAGGAAGCATGCTGCTGATGTCCAATATTTGACATGTGGGGATGTTTCGTGAATGCAATGGATTGAATTTGGCCAGTGGGACACCAACGATCAATGACGACGAGGGATGAGATTTGCTTATTTGTTTCGACTTCCGTTGTGAAGTGGGTATTTGAGTTAGGCTAGTTCAGTTATTCATTAAGGTGCTTAATGCGTTATGGATTCAAGTTGACAAAACGCGTGTCTTTAGTAAATCATCCTCCGGCCAAAATAATCACCTGGGAATTAAATAAGTGTCGGTGCGACAACCACGAAAATGTCGTCGACATAAGGAGTCTAGAACTGTTGTTTATATATTTTGGACATTTGATAATTGGATTGAAGTAATATGGGGGAGAGCCCAGCCCTTTAAAAAACAATTCTGGGCATCGTGCAGCGTCCGCTTCCCCTTGTCTCACAGTTCGAGTGTGAGTACCTTTTTCTCATCATGACATTACGAGATGTCACAAAGTGATTTGGAAGCCGCATAACAGATGAAAGAGACATCTGAGTGCAGTCGCACTAAAGGCGGTTGACTGACTGTCAAATAATAGCGTGTGCCAGCTAACGAGTGCCAGACAGTAATGATGACCTGATGACAGCATACGTCGCCCATTGACTAGAAACTCATTTACTCCATTGAGTGTGGTCCGCGACATCTATTTTGTCACGCCTCCCTAAATCGATTGCTCGCGTGCTCATCTACCTGACAGGATCTGCATCCATTACGCTGGTTGCACCACCCACTTAGGTTTATTTTCAGCCATCAAGGACGTGATGTAACAAAACAGTTGTGACATGTGTCTCCTTCCAGCATCAACAAGCTTACCACTACACCGAGGCAGTCTATGGAGGATGAAACCGCTATCCTGCCGAAAACAAATTAGGCGCTGAATGAGGTGCGGGGCAGAAAAAGCGCTAGCATTGCAGCCGCAGAGCCCGTGGAACTTGGTACTTTGCTATAAATGTTTTTGTGAAATTTTGACCTTCACGGTGACGATCAAAACAACGTCCCTTTTGTATGAAAGAAGCCATGTAGTTTGCTATTAACCCCCCTCCCAGATGCAATATCGTTTTGTTTTTGGAGTGATAGCATGGTTTATTGAATAGCTGCAAAAATAGAAGGTTCCATGTGACCATTTCTGCCATGAGTTGTCTAAACAGGGCACAGAGAGCTCAAAAAGAATGAAACGGAATTTTAAATTGTTCACAATAGTCTCAAGTACTAGGCAACAAACAATCCAAAATTTACACGCATGTCTCCGTCCGGCTGAAGCTCTTGTATCCCATTTCGTCGAAAGGGCCATTCATGTATTACTGCATGTTTTGGTAAGAGTTAAATGCAGTAACATTTCTACGAATACAAATGCCCTTATTACTTATATCTCTTCCCTCAGAAGTTCCTTTAATACATCTCCGCATGGTCCTAAACCGTAAGGCAACATAAGAAATGCCAGCTAATTTGAGAACTATAAGCTATGAGCGGTGCTGGAAATAGGCAAATGCATTCGTTCTTTTCCGATAATTTTGTGACGCAAAATGATATATATATATATATATATATATATATATATATATATATATATATGGAAAGGTAATACCGACAAAGACAAGGGAGACCGGAATGGCCATTTCTGGCTTATTAGCCGCCATCAGCCAGTCATACCCAACCCCTTGTCTTTGTCGGTATTACCTTTCCAACATATATCACTAGTCGCTGTGCGACTGCCTGCGAGGGTTTAAGTATGAGCCCCAAGGCACAACGGAACGAGCATGTTCCGTAACCTGATCGGTGAGCGCCCACTATCATAATATATATATATATATATATATATATGGAAGAAGGTAAAGAGATCTCTGGGGAGGATGATTTATTCATCTGACGTTTCCCACTCATACTTGAGCGCATCATCGGAGATAGATTAAAAGTGGTAATACAAGGTTTAAATAGGTCTTTCTTACTCAATATTGATAGGTCCATGGTTCCCTCTTCCCATTGGTCCTCCCTTCCTGCTCTAGTGGTGTCTGACGGCCTCATATGGCGCCGGTAGGTCAATTCTACGGTTGATCGAGTTGGCGTTGGATTGCCAGGCTTCGATTATCTCTCTCGCCATTTTGCTTTCGGCTCGGCCGATTACTTCTGCCGTGTCGAAGCCGAATTGATGGTCATTTTCGAGGCTATGCATAGCAACATGCGATCGTACATCTTTTCGCTTTACAGCTAGAGAATGCTCATGCATGCGCGACCTTAATCGTTTGTCGGTCATGCCACAATAATTGGCCGGACAGTCTAGACAGTTGACGCGGTAAACAATTCCTGACGTGTCCTCAGGTGGCAGCCGCCCCTTGGGCTGCATGAGCAAGCGGCGGATAGTGGCCTCCGGCCGGTGTCCAAGGCCCACGTTGAGTGGTCTGAGCATGCGCTCAGTGGCTTCGGAAACGTCACTCACGTGGGGCAAAGCACGGAAGAATTCAGGTTTTTGTTTTTGTCCACCGTCGGTCTTCGTGTGCCTTTGATACAGGCATTTGTTTATGAAGCTACGTGGGTACCCATTGGAGAGAAAGAGACGCCATAGGGATTTACGCTCTCGCAGCTTTTCAGCCTCTGTGCTGCAGTGTGTGTTGGTGCGTAGGAAGAGTGTCCGCACGCAACTGGGCTTATGTGACAAGGGGTGGTTACTGCTGTAATGGAGGATTTTCGCCGTATCGGACGGGACCCCTTGTCTCTCGTGTTTGCGCACTCCTTTGAGTGTGATCACCGCTTCAACTGGGAGGGGACCGAAGTGATCGCTAGTGCCAACACCAAACAAGCGCGAGAGTTTCTACAAGCTTGGCACTCTAATAGCAATAGCATCAACCGCCATGTCGAATTGGACGCTCACTACGAAGGCTTACGTTCACGGTTCGCCGGCTTGCGCCCACCCTAAGACACCAACTGCTAATCCATGTTCGACCATGTGGCATATCAAGGATTCAGCACCTCCCCGACAGAATGAACCATGTGTGAAACTCCCAACACCTCCCCTTACGTCCGCCACCTATCCAAACACGTTCTTCACCCCCACACGTAAACGTCTGTCTTGTCGATGTAACCTCGATGTCCCCCTGGCTCCCCAGTAGGATTATCTCCATCACACTATTCGTTTTCGTCTGACGACGGGTTGGCGTAACCGACTTGAAAATTCACGAGTATACCTCGATTTTCCGACGAGAATTCTCCTTTTATTATATTTATGGTACTGTGCATTCCGGGATAATATGATGAAGATATAAGTATCGTCGGAAAAAATGGATTTGTACTCCTACCATATATATGCCCATGCACTCGTGTACCACCACCGATTTATTTCGGATGGCACTGAGGTCGGTAACAAATGCGATGTGTTACCCAAAACCTCCGATAACTAGAAATAATACCCACTCTATCTATTTGAGTAGGTTATAGCCCTACATATTTGTTCTTTCATCCTTACATGGCTGGCGAGTGACAGTAGTATCTTTCATCTCACCTGCACTCTACATGTTGCTTCACATGAGATGCGACCGCTGAAATCCGAGCCAAAGTTAATCAACCTTAAACAAGGCATATATGGCTGGCGAGTGAGAGTAATAGTGGGGTGGTGGCCAAATCTAATCTTGCATAGCTTAGGATAGGTAAGAGACGATCGCTGCAGTGCACCGACTGCTTTGCCGTCCTTTACATATGCTTCCGTCAGCCATGAGAGACGACATTAGTCGTTTTGAGGCTTATTATGCGACAACCCAGCTTACGACACTTGGGGATGGATGACTTTAGACCTATCCTATGTTTGCCAACCTTGATATTTGCTTCCACAGTTAAAGACCCAGCGCAGTAGTCTGTATGCGGAATACTTTACGGTAGCATTCGTTTGGACACTTTGGATACGATGGCTGTGGACCGACCATTCGGCTTATCGATTATGACCATAACTTCCGTAGGTAGATCAATCGTACGCTTACTAAACATCACATCAGCTTCCACAGTTGACAAGCGACCGCATGCGGTGCGTATTTGGCTTATTCTATAGTGTCTTCCGTTAGGAGAGTTTCAACACATTCACCTTAGACAAAGCAGTTCGTTTATCACCTTCGACCATTACTTCCTGACGTGAGGGGATAGCTCAGTCGCCAGCGTTTGGGTTAATCTATGGCAGTTTGCCTTAGGATAGTTACGCTAAGATCACTGTGAGTCCACCGTAGGTTCATCAGCTTAAATATTAGCTTCTACATGTGAAGAGCAACCGCATACCTCGGCACGTGGTTTCGTGTTCACTAGCATACCTATCGGGTAGTAGGGAGGCTAAGGATAAATACCAAGCGATGGTTCACCATCCATGTACAAGACTCACACGGTCGACGAGTGACGGCAGTAGTCCACATTCAGCTTATCCTACGGTAGTTTACCTAAGGACGGTGTCTAACCGACAGCAGCATACCGCGTCCAGGTTTACCAATCTTCATCCACGACTCTTCAGGTTACCCGCGACAGCAGTAGTCCGGATGTACAATGGCAGCATATTGGCTTAACGATCACTGTAGACCACCGCTATTATCAACATTGAGATAGGTTTCCATTGCCGATTAACGACCGTGGCAGTCCGTCTGACCTTCAGTCTACACGCTTACTTTAGGACAGTTGGGATAAGTTCGCACTGCATCAAGTGTTCACCACGCGATAGGCTTCCACTGCTGAAGTGCGACTGCGGCAGTCGATATGTGCCTTCGTACATACTAGCATTCCCTTTGCGCAGTCAGAGAGCACAGATTGCAGACCACACGATTGCTTGACATCCATCCAGGAGGCTATTACGGTCGACGAGTGCCACCGTCAGACCTTATTCGGCTTATCCAGCAATAACATACGACGACTTAGACGAAAAGGACTAACTGTGCATACCTTGGGATTGAAGTGGTACAATCGCCATAGACCGACCACACGTTTGATAAGATTGCCATAAGCTTCCCCGTTTAAGGAATCGACCTATACAACTTAATGACACGCGTGCCTGAGCTTAGCAGGTTTCACTGAAAACTGCGGTCAGCATTCGACAGAGACTGCTATGGCAACATACTAAGCATGTATTAAATTTAGGACATACTATTCTACAGTTGGGTATTTATCCAAAACACATTGGCATTAGCCTTCCATTTACTTATTCACTTACTCTGGCATTTCTCTTCTCTCGATAAGAGCTTCACAGGTACTCAACAGTATAGCGTTAGAGGCCACGGCACACACGTTCACTAGCTATCACTATCGGCAGCCAACAAACAAATTCTACTAGTTTACTATTCGTTACGCTACCTTGGGCGTCTGATCACAGGTGCTCAATTGCTCCGCGGGTTGCTTAAAATGGTTTATGTCCACAGCACTGCTGTTTGTTTACTTTTCATTTACCGCGCCTACTTTCGTCGCCATAAAGTGATAAAGTAAAACCTTATCATTTGAAAAGCAATTTCATAAAAAAATTCTCTCCATTATTCGCATTTAACCACGCTCTCGAAAGGCCCCACCCATAAAGCCCCTATTACCACCTATCCTGTAAGACAGGCTGCTTTGTTTGAGAGGATTTTTTGGGTGCCATTTCCCATTAGTTACCCTGAGGTCGTCACCATGGCTAACACAAAGCGAGCGAGGGAATTTCTCTAGGCGTGGTACTCCAATGCGAGTAGTATCAACCGCCACGTTGACTTAGATGCGCATTATGAGGGTCTAGGTTCACGACTGACTGCCCCCTGCCCTAATCACGCACCAACGACCGCGAATACAACCGCCCGCATTCCAACTGATTCACCACGCGCACTCCCCCTCCAGCAAAGTGTGCTGTAATTGTTCCGCCTACTCTCCATTTCCCCCCTCACTCAGCGACCTACCATGACCTCGGGAGCACGTCTCCACACTCACACGTCAGTGGTCTGTCTGTCCTACAACACCAACTGGTCTATTGTGACAAACTGACCTTCTCTCTTGTTTTCATTTCGTCTGACCACGGGCTGGTGTCACCAACTCGAAAATTCACGAGTACAACTCGACTTTTCCGAAGAACCTCTTCTGTTTTTCATTATATCAACTCCGAATGCATACCACCTCTGATCTACATATATGCATATATATGAGAAGAAAGGCGATCTCGGGAATCATAGTTTTACTGTCCTGACTTTTCAAAAGCATACACGCCTCCATCGTCGGAGGTAAGTGTTTTGTCGCGCCTCACAGTATTTATGGGTGGATGACAGTCATGTCAAGACGGGTTTTCTTACATATGAAGTCAGGGCGGCAGGGATGAAGGGGCCGTGGGGGGGGGAGTCCTAGAGCATCTTTTCGCCGGATGAGGGGGTGGTAGATCAGCTTTAGTGGTCACCAGCCGCATGCATACATGAACTGTGGCGGGCGGGGGGAGGGATGGAGGGTGACGGCATGTACTCAATCTACATGGGGGGCCGGCGTTGAGACGTTGGTGGCCGTAGCTGTCGTCCATGCCTGGCAATCTTGTTTACGCCGCAACGACTGTTCGTTTTCTCGTCCGCCGGACTAGTGGATGGACCGACTGTGGTGAGGACTGTGCCTTCGTCGGAACCCGGTTGAGGGGTGGCTTAGTGTGCATACGCCATGGACTCGCTCATGTCTGGATTCATGCTTAGCCTGGATGCACGTACGCTCATTTGTTTATTGAGCTGCGATCGAAGGGCTTGGTAGGCAGCGGGAAGAGCCACACAACGGTTGATGGAGGTTGTTTCTTTGTGCCAAGCATCGATTGTTCCCCTGGCTATGCGCTTGTTTCCCCTGCCCAGAATTTTGCCATGCCGAAATGTGAACGTGTGTCCGGAATCGGCACAGTGTTCGGCCACCAGAGACAAAGGGTCCATTCGCCTTACTGCCCTCATGTGTTCTCCAACACGGGTCTGTAGCCGTTTGCTGGTCTCCCCAATGTAGTTGACTTCGCAGGAGTTACACTAAATTCGGAAGATGACGTTCCTGGTTATACCTAGTGGCAGAGGGGTCTTAGGTCTCATGACCAGATGTCGAATTGTTGACTCCTGTCGGTGGGCGATGCCGATCCCCAGCCGTCTTAAGAGACGGGAGACCGCCTCAGAAACGCCGTCGACGTATAGAAGCTTCCACCATACTTTTAGCCGTTCTGTCACCAAACGTCCGCTCGGTCCAGCCTGTCTGCCGCGTTTAATGAAGTTGCGAGGATACCCGTTGGTCATGAAGTGGCGCTGGAGGTAGCGTAGTTCTGACCTTCTGTCGTCCGGCTCGATGCTGTGTGTTTCTGCCTTCTGTAGAATGTTCGCACACAACTGCGTTTGTGGCCTAACGAGTGCTTACTGTGCTACCTCAGGATTTGGCGTGTATTAGTCGCCTTTCTATATACCGTCGTTTTAAGGTGCCCATTGGGTTTTCGATTGACGAGAACGCCGGGAACGGCAGTTGGTTGTTGGCTTCCGCCTCCATTTTGAACTGGATGTCGGGAAAAACAGAGTTCAAGACGTCATGGAATTCTTGGACCTTTTGCCGCTTAATGATAACGAAGGTATCATCGACATATCGAGCCCAAAATTTCGGCTTATAGGTTGAGAAAACGAGGGTCTCTTCTTTTTGGAGATCTACCTCAGCGATGAAGCCCGAGAGAGGCGATTCCATTGGCGGCCCCTTGACCTGCTCGTAGGTCGGGCCTTCGAAGGTAAAGTACGTCTTTAGGCAGAATCTCAGCAATTGGACGAGGTGTCTCCGTTTTACTGTCACGTCCGTCTCGTCGTACTGACTCTTGAGCAACTCGCTGACCGTTTCGACTGCCAGGTCTTGTGGAATCGAGGTGAAAAAGAAGAGACATCGAATGACACCATGACCTCGTCTTCGGCAAGTCTCAACCCTTTGATTCTCTCCAGGAACTGAGTTGCTGAACAGACCGTCGTGCCCGCGTCCGAGGTGAGAGACCTCAGGTTTCGGAACAGCCATTTAGCCAAATTGAATGTAAGTGCGCCGCGCAATGATATGATTGGCCGGAGGGGCACCCCGGCTTTGTGTACCTTTGGTAGTCCGTAGAACCTTGGTACGGTCGCGTCAACTGGCTTAATGGCCAGCCATACCGATTTACTTATTGCCTTGCTCCTTTGCATGTCGGCGAGGGTCTTCTCCAGTTGCGTCACCAGCCTCCTCGTTGGTTCATCGTTACATGGTAGGTACGCCTGTTGACCCCCCAGTAGGGCATTCGCCTTCTGAATGTAGTCTGCCTTATCCATCACAACTGTAGAACGCCCTTTGTCTGCTGGTAGAATCACGATGCTGGTGTCAGCCCTCAGCGTCTTGAGAGTGCTCTGCTCGGCCTTGGTAATAGTTGCACGCGGTTTATGCGCCATCGCCAAGGAGGATACCTGCTGTCGAATGAGATGCTTGGTTTCGTCGGATTCCCCGGCTTGTTTGAGAATCGACTCAACCGTGGCCACGAGACTGACTGGATCGGCGTCTGTGGTGTTGAAGCAAGCTTCATGTCTCAGCACTTTCATTTGTGCAGGGGTCAGCTGCCTAGAGGACTTATTGTGCACCAGGACTTCGTTCTCCTCTTGAGATGATTTGCTTATGCTTTGGAGCTTGACCGCAGTTCGGCATCTCCTGTTGCTCGCAGGTTCCGGGCCCGTTTATTAATCACTTGTTACAACTGCGTGACTCCGTCCTCACCGATGAGTTCGACGCACTTTATGACCGCCTGGCTCAAAAGCCTGTTGTATTTACGCAGTCGACGATGGCAATCTTGGAGAAGCGCCCGAATCATTCGTCTGCCATGTTCAGCCACCCACCGCTTCGCCAGACTTGTGTTCACCGGTGGCCTGTACGACGGGCTCTTCGGAAGCGCATGATTGTTAAGGCATCTGTGGAGGAATTGTATTTGCGCGTACGTAGAAGACACTCGAAGGGTGAATATTTCCCAACGTCGTGCAGACTCAAGCGCTTCGCGTCGGAAAATATTGCTAACAGAATCGAAGATGTGGGTCTGCGGACATAAATGAGAAAAAAAAGGCGATCTCAGGAACCATAGTTTTACTGTCCTGACGTTTCACAAGCAGACGTGCACCCAGACTAAGCATGAATCCAGACATGAGCGAGCCCATGGCGGATACACACTCAGCCACCCCTCAACCGGGTTCCGACGAAGGCGCAGTCCTCACCACAGTCGGTCCATCCACTAGTCCGGCGGACGAGAAAACGGACAGTCGTTGCGGCGTAAACAAGATTGCCAGGCGTGGACGACAGCTACGGTCAATGAAGGTACGAACGACGGCCACCAACGTCTCAACGCCGGCCCCCCATGTAGATTGAGTACATGCCGTCACCCTCCATCCCTCCCCCCGCCCGCCACAGTTCATGTATGCATGCGGCTGGTGACCACTAAAGCTGATCTACCACCCCCTCATCCGGCGAAAAGATGCTCTAGGACTCCCCCCCCCACGGCCCCTTCATCCCTGCCGCCCTGACTTCATATGTAAGAAAACCCGTCTTGACATGACTGTCATCCACCCATAAATACTGTGAGGCGCGACAAAACACTTACCTCCGACGATGGAGGCGTGTATGCTTTTGAAAAGTCAGGACAGTAAAACTATGATTCCCGAGATCGCCTTTCTTCTCATTTATGTCCGGGTACGCGCATCTTCGCTTCTATTTGCAATACATAGCCGACCTAGTCTGCCGACTTCACTTTCCCTCTGTTCATTTCGTCTGACGACGGGTTGGTGTCACCGACTTGAAAATTTACGAGTACAACTCAATTTTCCGAAGTGCCTTCACTTTCTCATTCTATCACCTCGGAATGCACACCACACCAGTTATTCATCATATTTCTGGGTGTCAAACGCTTATCCTTATCAGACGTTGGGATAAATTTTCACAGAGGCAGTCGACGACTTACGAACAGTTAACTTTTCTCCACTGCTGTCGCGATCATGGTGTCCTACCTAAGTCCCTCCGAATCAAGGTCACCCTACCCAATGAGACCGGAAGACAACTTGCGCGCAAGTATGGATTTCGTGTTTTGAGTGCCGTTATATCCGACGTCCACCATCGTCTTTGCCGCTTTGAAGCAACAATTTCTGACCTTAGAAGCCGCTGCGTCTCACGCTTACCTGAGAACGTCATTTCAGAAATACTTCACCGAATAAACGCCACCACCAAAGACGCCAGAATTAAGAAACGGGCCGACCTGCAAAAGAAACTACAATCTCTTTTGTGCACGGCAAGCGAGAACCGAATGTCTACGAAGGTTGTTAATCTTTCGAAAAGGGACCTATCTTCCACTGAAATAAGCCTCCTGTCTAAGGGGATAAGATTCAGTCACACCGATGCTGCACCTACGGACTTCCTAGCCAACCTTGAATCCCTCCTTCTGACCTCCGACGTCCCTGATGACATGTGTACGGACATTCGCAGTTGCGCCGCTGGTCTCCTTCGATAAAGGAAACATTATCAAACCCTACCGACCGAAGAGAAAAAGGCGTTGCCATCGCTAAAGACAGGGGACAAAATAGTTATTACGTCTGCTGACAAAGGAGGAGCAACCGTTATCATCGATAAGGTTGACTACGTCAACAAGGCAAACCAAATCTTCGATGACAGGGAAGCATATGCACCACTCGCTGCAGACACAACGAAGAAGCAAGCCGCGACTATCAAGAAGAAAGTGAATGAGCTTGCCCGATTGAAGCTCATAAGTACCGATTACAGCAGATCTATGACCCTCAGTGACCCCCGTATCGCACGTGCGTACGGCCTTCCGAAGGTGCACAAGACAGACGCGCCGCTGAGGATCATTGTGCCACTTATTGGATCCCCTACTTACAACCTTGCCAATTGGTTATACAGACACTTAAAGCATCTCGCAAATGGATCACAATACAGCATCAAAAATTCTCAGGCTTTCCTACAAAAGATCCAACGCCTTGAAGTAAGTCCTGACGAATGCATCCTATCGTTCGATGTTGTTGCCCTATTTTCTTCAATACCACATGACCTAGCGATTGATAGCGTAGCCCGATGTCTAGAGCAAAGTCCCATTGGCATTCCAACACAACATGTTCTAGACATGCTTAAGCTTTGCCTCAAGAATTATTGTCAGTTCGATGGCAAATACTACCAGCAGGTTAAGGGCACCCTAATGGGCTCCCCACTATCGGGGCTGCTTGCAGAACTAGTCTTACAGCGACTAGAACAGGATATTGTGCACACATTCGAACCAAAAATGTGGCTCCGCTACTTGGACGACACATTTGTCATCATAAAGACCAGGGAAGTTGAGCGATTGCATCAGAGCTTAAATAGCGTCTTCCCGGCTATACAGTTCACCCGCGAAGAAGCAACAGGAGATACCCTCCCGTTCATAGATGTGAGCATACAAAGACTCAGTGATGACAAACTAGCGACAAGCTTCCACAGAAAAGACTCCAGTGCCGAAATCATACTTAAATATGGGAGTAATCATCCTGCGGCCCATAAACGAAGCTGTGTCCGCACTCCTTTCCATCGGGCCTAGTGCATCTGCGACAGTGATGACTCACTTAAGAAAGAATTGGCCTACTTACATCGGTCGTTCCGCTCCAACGGATATCCAGCCAGTTTCGTAAAGAACTGTCTCAGACGCCAGAGACAACTACCATACCCCGAGTCTCATGAAGATAGAGCGTCGCAGAACTTCTATTCACTGCCGTACATTCAGGGAATCTCTGAAGCACTCTCCCGGCAACTAAAACGCTTTGGCATCTCCATTGCCCATAAGCCCGCATCTTCTCTACGCGAGACATTATGCCGAGTAAAGGACCCAGTGCCCAAAGAACAACTAACTAACGTCATCTACCGCATACCGTGCGCCAACTGCCCTTGTGTTTATATTGGCCATACAGGCCGATGTCTTGGGACTCGCATTAAGTAACACAAGCTAGCCCTCCGCCGGCGTGACCCTCTGTCCCTCGTGTTTGCGCACGCTACTGAGCACGACCATCGCTTCAATTGGGACGGCACTGAAGTGATCGCAAAGGCTAACACCAGACAGGCGCGAGAATTCCTCGAAGCTTGGAATTATGGCACGACCAGCATCAAGCGCCACGCCGATCTAGACGCTCACTACGACGGCTTACGTACACGCTCACTGTCTTGTTCCCACACCTCAACATTTGCTAACCCTTTCTCGGCCACATAGACGTATGCTGCTTCGCCATTCCGCTTCCCTTTGCGACACGGCGAACAACAACCTAAACCCCCCTAACACCTCCAACTCCGGCGCATTGTCCCCCGACCTCATCCCGCATCAGTGACAAGCCGCCCGCATTCCCACTGATTCGCAATCCCCACCCCCCCGCGTTTTCACCGCCTCCAACACTGGGAGCCCTAACTGTTCTTCCTTCCCTCCCCTGCCCCACGGCCTACCACAACTAGGTGTCCACCCCTCTCACACATCAGCTGTCTGTTTGTCGTTGTTTGTCCTGTCGCGCCAGCCGACCTAGTCTGCCGGCTTCACTTTCCCTCTGTTCATTTCGTCTGACGACGGGTCGGTGTCACCGACTAGAAAATTTACGAGTACAACTCAATTTTCCGAAGAGCTTTCACTTTTTCATTATATCACCTCGGAATGCACACCACATCAGTTATTCAACATATATACCTATATATCAGCGAGTGACTTTTTGTGTCATTTTTGATATTCTGAAAATATATGCCGTTAAAGATATCGTGACGGCGGGAGCATAGTGTATCTATACGATTCTATAGAATTTGACATACAAAACCTCAACATTTATGGTCTCCGTTATCGAGCGGTCTGCGTGTCACGACGGAGGACATTAAAACGCCGCCGCCGATTGTGAATGAGAACCTCTGACACATTTTCTAATCCAAATTAATGCAGTTAGACGGTAAATTTTATCGCGAAAATGTGCTTATCGTGTTTTCTCAGTCAATGCTAGAGGTGGGGATATGCAGACATCATTAGTGTCCGCGTATATTGCACTCAAATTTTGATTTTTAACATCGCTACCTTGTACTAGCATTATTTATGTCCGATAAGTCTTCTGTGTGCACACCGAACTCCTTGACGGTAAACGGAACTCTTCGCAGTCTGATGAATTTTCTCGATTTAGGGCACTCTTCTTGAATTACTGCTAATTTGGCTCACTGACCGCAGTTAAATTTAAGGGGGCCTTTCAGGAAGAGCGTGGGTTTGTGGAATGGTGGAAGCGCTGCACGTGTTTTAATTGGTTGCATTTAATAAGCAGTGGTATATTTAATTTTAACTTGCTGTAAGAAAAAAATGTTGATTGCGATTTTGAAAACTCCAGAACATAACAATTTACGTACCGTACAATGTGCTAGACCGAGCGAGGTACCTACAAGTCTCATCAAATGGGATCCATGAAGCTACTCTATCTCCAAAATAGCACGCCAATTTGACGGCCAGCCAAAGTGTGTTTATGAGTGGTATGGCAATATCAAGACTAACAGGCAAGCCTAGATTACGACATCCGTGAACGTAGGAAATCGACCGAAAGATGCGCAAACACTATTTTCGCCACAATTTGAAATCATTTTGCACGATAAAATTGTTAAGTAGTATTATGGACCGGTCGCTGCAATGGGATGCGGGTATGTATAGAAAAGTTCAGGTGTCGTCAACATAAAAGAGCGTTCTCACGTAGCAAACGTGTGCATACTGGGTTTTGTTCGGTTGCATTCGATACCACAAAAATATCCAGTGGCGTGTTATAACACATCAGTTGCGAAAGAAGCTTTGCAGACTCTCATTGGCCTGTCGTCCTCACTCTCGGTGATACGTGTGTTTATGACGGACACTGTTTTTTGCGTTTGTGTCACAGTAAATTTTGTAATAGCTATATATTGTAGCAGCCGCTCCAGCCCCCCTTTTCTCCGGCTCCGTTTTGTCGGTCGATGGCCGTGACAAGCACTGACAGGCCGCTGACACACGACCACCCACACCGGCTAGAACTGGGACCCTCCTGTCCAGCTGCAGTGACTCCCGGCTGCCCTCACAAACTAGTATCACCTAACGCGCGTCGAACGCTCTGGCTTGATTCCCGTGAGGCCTTGTGAGTATGCGCCCTCCATTCGTCCCCTAATTAGTCCAATCACACGACCACCATGCAGACAGTCACCCCCTCCTGCTAACTTAGACACACACACTCGCATTAACAAGACACACCGTGACTGACGCTCTCCGTGAACGGACGGTTTTCTCTGTTACAAGCAAATCGCCAACTTACGGCAACCTGCCCTGTGTACAAAATAAACTAGTTCTAACAGCTCCCTGACTTCTGACAGTAGACGAAACGAATTTATTGTGCGTGGTCTAAGTCGATCTCACATCCTTGACCGCCACAATATCTGAAATTGACGTTTTTAAGTTAGATATAGACAGTTTAATGTTATTCAATGCAGCTAACTCCGTTGATTTAAACTGTGTTTACTCATGTGTCGAAAACTGTTGGTTTCAATATACGGTCAAACACAATTTCCCATCTCCTTTCCTCCTTGCTTGGACGCTTTGCGATTTACCGGCCAGAACAACTTAGATATTTCACTAAAGTCTTCATCAGATCTCGCTACCAGAACTTTTTCAACCCTGAGTGGGAAATTGTGTGCAGGAATAGGCATATTTTGTAGTCATATTTTAATACTGATTCAGCGCGCTCATAAATTTGACATCTCTGGCATTAACCATGCCCTAACTGAGGAATGCAAAGACAGCGCATGAGAGTCGTGTGGATCATTTATTAGTTTTCGAGCCAATTATCTTGATGTGGTTTGCTGTGTTTGTTTTTAAAGGAAGGGCTTTGGTGTGGGCGTCGGATGCCAGCTCAGGCGCTAGATACCTATTTTAGAGTGTAACGTGAGTAACCACGATCAGGGAAGTAGAGAGTCCACAGACAGAAACAGGCGAGCCAATCATTGCAGGTTTAAATTTACGTCGATCGTGTTTTATGGCGACATCAACGCATATATAGCTCCAAGAGAAGTCGTCTAATATCGATCCTAGCAGCTCCCTCCGCTAAAATTGTTCTACCAACCGAAAATGTTCCGCACCCTGTATATCCTTCTCGCAATCTACATTCTGCGCGGATGTCCAAAAATTATGCGTACGTTCTCAGTATCTTTTTCGCCTGCCATTTAGTATATTAAGAATAAATGTCTCATTTTGAAATGGTTTGATAACTAATTAAAATACTTTCTTAAGTGGGCCTCAAAGGACTAGAAAAACCTACTCAAGTGAAGGCCTTGCAAAAACAGCGTGATACACCTCTGTGTGAAAACGATCCATTATGGAAAATGCTATACAAACACTGCGTACTTGAATAACACGTCTGGAGATCTTCAAGTAGTTGCCTAGAGTTGGTACTCTCTACGAATTTAGCGTTACGCATTTGGAGATGAAGGTGCTGGTTGCTATGCCGTTATATAGAATCAGTTATGCAAACTGCGAAAACGCTGATCGATGGGAAGTAAAAAGTCAACAGCATATTTCTCACGGTTGTGTAATGGAGAAAAACGTACTCCGTTGATTTAAAGAATGTCACTAAACAATCATAATCTACCCCAAATTTTCCAACAGCAATTCCCAAGCAGCGACCAAATGATAGCTGGCTAAATCGAAACAGAAAATCTCGAAAGTAATGTCGAAATGCAAAATCCTAAAAGATAGAATATCACGTTAAACGTATAACCACATTAATAGATATTTTTTATCTATTACTTCCGAACAGGTGAATAAGTAAAGGAGCGAAATCAGCAAGAAAATAAAACATCAATCGCCAATTAATTATGCTAAATTCGAAGTATATGGTAACATACAGCCCATCAACATTCGTTTTAAAATTAAATAAAACGTCGCAAAATCCTACTGTCCTTCATATATATGCAAAATACGGATGTGAGGAAAAAAATGGGCCACCAGCAATAAGGGTAATATATTTGCATAGGATGTCTGATTAGGCTGAATCGGAAGAAAGGCCAGCTGAATAAAGTCTTTAAAATACGGAAGGAAGGAGAATAAATAAATGCAGAAAACAAGTGACTGCAGTCGGCGATATTGTGATACGTCATCAGCTTAGTCGTATAGATTCCAGCACACACAGTCTACCTCCGACAACTACGACATCGTCAGGCGGCCCAGCGGACAAGAAGTATCTCTTTTGGAAAATGGTGGGGGATTCACGGGGTAACAAAATCGACAGGGTAACCCTCTTATCGTCGTCCAACAGCATTGGGTTGGTTGAAACTCAAGCAAGCGTTTCTCTGAGAATCGTCTAAATACCCCCACGGCTTTATTAGTGGGCCCACTGAGGATGCTGGGTGCAGTTTGCAGAAAGGCCCCGAACTGGAAAGCTCTAATGCTGTTAAAACCCCAAAAGGACTGACGTCGTCATCGAGAACTTCTAAATATTTAAAGGGCTGGACCCCACCCACTTAAGTGACTACCGCTGAGAGGGAATTGTTAGGGCCACGCTGACCGAGGCGCGTGAGACGTTGTCAGTTTGTGAGCGCAGCCATAGCTCGGCGAAGTTTGCTTAAAGACGGCTCAACTCAAGTATGCTGGGTAGTTATTCGTTGCCTGTATGGCTGCAGGCTAGCACGAGCAGTTACAGGGGATGTCCGCAAGCAAGATCAACTGCACTGCAGCGATGTCGTCCTCGAAGGAGTCAGCCACATGACTTTAACACCGCAGAGTAAATGACAGCTCAGTGTGCATTTCTGAAATCCGCCCTGAATTCTGCGAAAAAGGTTTTCTATAAATGGAAGCAAATATGCAAGTCCCAGGTTCTTGTTGAAAAGAACCTGAGCGCACAGTCACCGAGTACGTGTATTAGTAGGAGCGTTCGGTCCCCTACAGGAGGCCATCATCAAAGGCCTTGACAGTGTGACGACAAATGAGCAGTTAATAGTTTGCGATAAGTCTGAGCCCACGTCGTCTCACGGCGGCGGTACTGTGTTCAGGCTTGGCTGACAATTGGTTCTCGTTTCTTGGCCGCGGGAACGTAACGCGTGACAGCAGTAGGGTATATCAACGTGTCTGCTGTTAGACTTGGTGTCAGACACCTAAACCTCCAGGGATTCGCCCCTTGTCCTATTGCTGGCTCGCGCCATTATCTGCGCACTCACTAGGCAGGATTCGTGGCCTTCCTCCAGCGTGTGAGTAGCGACCTGAGATAGTGAGTCGCCTCTCTGGACTTTCCGTTTGTGCTCGTTATTCGCCAGCTAATCTGTCTTTCGGTCTATCCTGTAGAATGTCGAGGACAGGCCCTCATGAAATCTGATAGTCCACCTCACTGCATAATTATGCATCATCAAAAACCGTACTAATACCCCGGAGGAATGCTTTGAAATTATGACTCTTTACTGAAACCTGCATTCTGATGTTCTGACAAAGTTTTCCTTTCCGTTGTCAAACGAAATAAAAGCACAGATTAAATATTACGATTAATAAGGAGGGCAATTCAGTTAACGGAAAACGCAACTAAATATTAACTTAACTCTGCAGTGCGCTAATTATGAGTGCTTAATATCCTGCTTAGTGGTCAACATTATGTCCTGCAATTATCGATTCACGCACGTGAGATTGACTGAGAAAGTAGAAAATGAACACTTATATTTATCACATCTATATTTATTGCGAACAAATTTAAGACGCTGCTTGTGCGAAAACCACCATGCATTCCTAACTGGATGTATTCTGATTTGTATTTTTTCGCATAAAATCGTACGCAAATATAGTCATATATTTAATCAGTGAACACTTGATTGCACCAACCTAATTGCATATGCCAGTTATCTCTTAAATCACGGGTTGACTTTTCAGATTTTCATAAGTAATATTTTGCTGCTTACAAAGTCATAACGATCCTTTATTTTGGCGTTAAACGTGACACAGTGGACAATGACATCTCCAGTTAAATCGCATGTATCTTTTAAAACGATTCTTCATCGCACGTCAAGACGGGGACAGTTAGCGCCTACTTAAAGATCATTTCGCTTACTTCTTTTCGACAGCATTAGTCGATCAGGATCCAAGCGACAAATCAGCTTGCACTCTGAATTCCACCTCCATTGCCGACTCCCGGAAAGCACTTCACCTGATGGAAAAGGTCTTCGGAGGCTACGATATTTCCCCCGGTGTTAAACTTTTGCGCAGTACGCAGTCCACGGACGGCATATATACTGGCTTCGTCCCATCCGCGATCTCAGCCCGTGTTCGAGAGAGCATAGAAAAGTTCAAAATAGGTAAACTCCCATTTTATCTCGTGCGTGATCGCACGTACACTAATACGGGATGGCCAAATTTCGGATCATTGCTCTCAGAGGTGATGGCTAAGAAGAGATTACAGTTTCTTAGCCATCAAACAACGAATAATACAGACGAAACAGGGTAGAGATGCATGCCAACTGTTAAAAGCACTTCACAGTTAACGTCATCCTACAAACTACCAACTGCTGCCCGGTCGATAGAGCAGTTGCATGCGTCAGTTTTGAAAGGGTTAAAGGATCCTCTGTCGGTATGACGCATCTAGATTCTGATTTATGCAAACTTACTTTCTCAATAAATTGTTAGATTATTTCACGTATCAATCTGTAGTCAACTTTAATTACCTATGAAATATTCGGACTTTTCCGCAAACACTCGTGTCGTAGTTAGGCCTACTGAATTAACCCTGAGGTTTAGTGGCAGATCTTTGTCCTGATCGGCAACCAAAGTTCAGTCAAACTGATTTTAGCTTCTTAAATTAATAGAACATATGCGAATGGTCCCTCATTTGAAAGTGAATAGAGGAAACTCATCCTTTCGCGAATGGCCCTGTCAACTGCCTGCTAAATGGAAGTGCTTCATATAAGCGTCAGCTCGCAAAATCGTGTTCTTTTTAAAAGTCTCACCTAGCGAATTAAACGTCTTTAATAGGACCTTCACGGAGCAGCGTATGGGAGGGTACGGCACGGCTGGCAGACAACACTTATCCAAAATGAAGCTTTGTAATGATCGTGCTTCTGATAGCATGCAAATATGCACATTCATCACCAAAGTAGGGGAACCGCTTTCCAGCAACCGACTTGTTATTGCCAACGCTCGTGGTGAACGGAAAGATTATTCCACTCACTCATTCACCTTAAATTTGAGGCTACCTCATCTGTTGGATCCCCATCTATATGTTAATTATGTTTTCAAGTAAGAACATCATTTTATCGGTCCGGGAGTGATGAGATCTATAAAAGGGCTCGCGCATCTAATGGTTAAACTAGCACTAAAGACAGAAATAAACATGTTCTGCTGAATTTCCAGTCTGCAACCAGATTAATAATAAAGGTTTGGCAATGCGAATTGATTTACAACAGATATGCTAGTGACGCAAACGGATTTGCTTTTTGAGAAAGCACAGTCCAAACATCGTCTTTGCAGACGAGATCTGGCAACGGTGTATTAGACTGCCATACAGAAATCGAACTTACTAATGTACAATTATTGCCTGCTTGACAGGGAATAACCGTATTGTAAGTGAACTGAGTTTAGTAAAACACGCTATTTATACTTTGACGAAAAAGCATTCTTTCCTCGCTCGTGAAATATATTTATTATACTGACTATTCCTAGGTACGGAAAAATTTTTTTCCGAAAAATGGTTCTCCATTCTGATAGCGGTGTCGATTGCTCTTCCTATCATGGTAAGCTTTTACTTTGACTCAGTCGGAATTAATAGATGTATGCACACTGGATAGTCATACAAATTTTAGCTATGATGCTCAAGATGTTTTTTCTACAGATCTAAAATTTCAATCTACTTATTTTGAAAAGTATTTGGTTCAGGCCATACTTACTGACAGAAGCGCTTTACACCTGCCATTGCGGAACCTGAACTCCTGGTTTATTTGAACTTTGACCGAAGAAGACGATTTTAAAATTAGGATGCATTTTCACTTAAGTATCCAGTTGGCCAATAATGACTCATCATTCCTTAGCTACAGTCACATTCGTAAGGCGTCCATCACTATTTATACCGATGCCTTTGACAAAGGTTTCCAAGAACCTGACAAAATAGGTTATATTCCGCCGTTTCTTCCGGCGCGAAATTTTACCGACCATATTTTGTTAACAGGGTTTTCTAAGTAAATGCATATCACTACGACAGGCTTTATCTTTCCGCACATACTTTTCCACCCTAGCTAGGGTCTTTACTCGCCAATTGGCCCATTTAGTGCCCCCACACATCATCCATGTGTTGACGGAAGACATGGTAGACGAAAGACAGGCCTAGCTGGCACGTTAATATGTGTATTGGGAATCATATATATGTTGCGTTCAACTCACTATATGCTCCCACAGAGTCAGGACGACTGGGTTTGGGATTGGCACAATGACTAGCAAGTATGAGCAATCAGTTAGTTACGCAGCATGCTGCAGACTACACTTGATACCCTGTTTGCCTGTTAAGAGGGCAATCGTTGGACCACTTGGGGTGCTGTGGACATGATATGCTGGACAGATGTACTGCCAGGACGACGATGTAAATGGCCTCACGCAGCTTCTTTGATTCCGAGTTAAGATTATCAGACACGTCCTTAGCTAGCTTAATAGGGATTCATGCGCTAGCTATAGGTCAACATGCATTCAGGGATATTTCTCAATACAACAATACCCCGTGATACAATCTCTTTGATAAATGCCTTCTAAGCTATCCGTAACGCTGTTCGAAAGTGCACGTAAAACTACCAAGTTTGGTTATGCGTCTAAAGTCAGCCAGAAATATTTGGAAGCTTACATGTGTTTGTCTATTATTTACAGGTCCCGACGATGATTTTATTGTTCTTCCTCGTTCACAAATACTAGGAAATCTATCCGAGCTGATGGACCCGTGGACTATTTAGTCCGTGCAGGCTCTCTCTGCGGGACAAATTAAGTGCTATTGTTTCAATGTCATTTATTTCATTTTGAATGGCACAAATGAATATATGGTTTATGGTGGCACGTGAATTTGAGTCCACTCAGCTTTCTAAAATCGTCAAAGTTCCAAATGATTGTGTAACTGATAAGAACATAAAGTGCGTGACCTAACTCATGAAAGGTGTCAAAAGTTACGAGTGAATGCCAATCGCGCGCAAACCGACATTATTAAATGAGTCTAATGTCTATGTTCATTAGGTACAAATGTGCAAGAATAAAAAACAAAAAAACGGTTAAAGGCAATGTTGAATTTTTTAGAAATGCCTATTTATTAGAAAAGTGCAAAATCCCGAAAACGTCAGGAATGACTATAATTTAGTAAACTTCGTTTTCAGATATATTTAATGCATTCTAATACGAAACACATCATAAATATGAAAATAAAAATAAAATAACTTTTGTTACTAGTTGTTCTATAAAGTTTACATCTAATTATTTTTAAGAATAAGCGCGATTTTTATATATGGCGGTTTTTCAGCAGCCTGCTTTCCCAGTAGAGATTCCAAAACAGTTTTCCAGGGATTCGTGATATTCTTGACTTGATTCAATTCAATAAGAGAGGGTTCAACAATTCAAAAGGGATGAGGACGGCGTAGGAACAAACGTTTTCATAAGGCGGCAGGCCAAAAGGCCAATAGATGTCTAATAAATTTAATAAGAATTGCCAGGTGTGGTTTTAAACATACCATTTTGTTTTTTTAAGTGAACGTTTCTTCAGTTATTGAATTTACACTTTTCGTCCGTTTTGGACTACGTTGGGTTTTAGATCGGCCTTAAAATCTTGCGGAATACTTCATAATTTTCACCCATTCGTCCATATCAACGGATTCTAAATTACCAGTCTGTTAAAAAATTTAAAATAAGATAATTCTTAAAGGCATTTACTACAGTATTGAGTGCTTTCACTTGTGCCTACGACAATGTGAAGTTCTATTTTTTTGTTTTAATTCCTTTTACTTGTTTGCCTGTTCCTGTGGAAACAAGTGGGTAATTCTATACATGTGGGAGTCATTAGTTTGATGTGATATTTAAACTTTGGATCTTTCTATTTTAACCTACCTTTCAAGATTTCTTCCGTATTTAGAGAGTCTCATCTCAATTCCTCTTCAGTGAACAAATTGTGGTTGACCTTTTGCTTTCAATCAACCAGCGTTTTCATCGCACGCATAACCGAACCTATATAACTGCATAACAGCCAAAACCTTCATCGGCAGAGAGCACCTACTCTAGACAACTGCTTGGAGACTTCTAGACGTGTTATGTAGGCACACTGTCTTTGTCTAGAATTTCCAAAATGGTGCGTTTTCACACATAGATGTAGCACAGTTCAAAATATGACATGCTGTTTGTTAGAGAACATGACTAGAGCAAGCTTTCCTAGCATTGTCTGATTTCACAGACCAGGAGTTCCAGCACCTCCTTTCTTCTCAGACACTTGTAGTCCCACGACTTCTTGATATATGTGAACTACTGTGCATGCCTAGAGTTGGTTTTTCTAACCTTTCTTGGAGAATTAAAAAATAACTATAAGTATTTCTCGAGTTTTATTAAGAATGGGTCATTGAGCGAATGTTTGTACAACGAAAAGCGAAAAACATCCTGAAAACGTCCGCATAGATTTCGACATTCACGCAGAATGCAGATTTCGACAAAGGCTTACAGCGTACGAAACATTTTGGGCTGATACTACACTTGGCTGGCGGAAGGAGTCAGGATATGTATACATATATGCATTTTGAAGACGATAAGTTCTTTGGGAAAAGTAAGAACTTTATTAGTATATTTTCGAGTCCGGTTCCCCAGATCGTCGTCAGACTTTTTGGCTCCGAACAAAAACAGTTAACTATTTAATCGTGTCGAACAAGGGAATCTATGGATGGCCGAAGCCCGCGCCAATGCGCGTCAATGATTTTCGTCATCCCCTCGGCATTGGCTGTGCTCGCTTCCATTTGTATGTGCCATCTAAATCGATAAGCCGATTGATGCATGCCTCATCTGACTGTATTGCCTCCAGGAATTCACGGCCTCTCCTTATGGGACAGGCGCCAACAATGCGCGTGTTCTCCCATGCAAATTGGTGTCCGGTGTCCAGTGTGTGCATAGCCACTTAGGATAGATGATCTCGTCTCTTCACCGCTAACCGATGCTCATGATGACGGGATTTTGTAGACAATATTTTCCTATCGAGATAGCTAACCATGTCCTTTGGGTGTACAAGCTGTGTACGCAAGGTGGTTGCAGGCTGGTGTACCACTTGTATCTGATGTTTTTTCAGCTGTCTTTCGACGAGATCAGATGCATTTTTTAAGTATGGAAGAGTCTGCCAAGTAAAAGTTTTGGTGTCTGGGTGGCCGTATTGTTCGAAATGCCTTTGTGGTACAAAGGTACAACGTCGAGAACAAAGTCACGTGGGTACCCGTTGTGGGAAAATAATTTAAAAAGTTTTTTTAATCTCTGCTTGGTAACTATATTCATCAGGGCAGTGTGTTTTGGCTCGAATTTCGAGGCTTCTTTGGCAATTGGCAGGCCGAAATAAAGGAATTGAATTTTTCTGACACCAATCCAACCCAAAAACTGATATGCACACGTGCGGTACGTGATGACGCTCCCTGGTGATGACGTAACCTGAACTCTTCTTACACATTCATACATCCCTAGTGAGCATTTCTACTCTCTATTATGCTGATGGCGAGAATAATGTATTGGACTATGGAGGCGACACGCGCACGGTGGATTAACGAATGCGTGACATCTGTTTTTATTTACATGCTGAAAAAATCGAGTCCATATACCTAATCGCGTTCAATATATGAAAAATTCAAAAAGTGGGAGGGCGAGATCAATGACTAGCTTATACTTATCCCAACGTTTCGGAAACATCCTCTGTTCCTTCGTCAGGTTTCTGTGGTCGATGCTTCTGCTGGTCCCGAGATATTTTGTTGTCGTCCACCGTGCATTTTGTCCGTGATCTAGGCATGATGCGTGATCTGCCTGTTTGTTACCGACAAGCTTTGTGTGTAATTCAGCTCATGAAAGGCAATAACACGAACAGATATGATAGTACTAGTCTTCATAAACGCCGCACTTTACCATCAATCGCACAGCATCTTTTGATAGAAGTCAGTCTTGTGTGGAAATAATTTATGTAAGCAAAATAATCAGGCAAAATGTTTACAAATTGAATTGGAAATAAAACGCGTTCTACGCTTGTGCGATGTTCGCCGTTCGTGATAGACTTCAAACAGTAACAGCGCAGATGACACAATTTGACATAACAGAATCAGTTGGCCGTTTATAATTATAAATGTTAATTTTTTTATCAATTCAAGGGCTCAAGTAATGCTAACCTTTAAAAAGTGGGTAAAAGAAAAAAGCTTTTAGATAATTAAAAACGCAGCTTTATGTCATTTCTCAAATAAGGCGAATCACTATGAAAAGTCCACTTTACAAAACACGGATCCCAAAAATTACTCAAGTTTAAAAATTGATAAAAACTCGAAAATAAGTAAAATCAAGCAGACTTGGAGGGAATCGAAAACGTGAAAATATACTAAAGGTGGCTTTGCCTTGCCTAGAAATAACATTTTAAGAAAAGGAAACTTTATAAAACGACAAAAATCGCTGCAACTGAGTATTTTAAGAATGTACGGTAAGATTGCTCGTGTAAAATCCGTGTTACAAAAGGAGTACAGATAGAATAACGTCCGAAAATCAACTTCTAGCAAGGCTTTTGTTTTACGTGCAATGTCGAGTGTGATGGTCGCTCGAGTTTGCCCACAGGGACGTCAGAGTTATAGAAGATTTTACAGAGCCACATGCTGACAGACCGGTTAGTAACTGGTGGATTTGAGTAAAATTATTAGATGACGTCACAAACATACAATTTTGTGTACATAAAGAGAACTTCCCTTTCGTAAAAATCTTTCACGTTTTGGCTGGTAGTGGTAAACTCTGAATTTCGGATCAACCCTGAAATAATAGTGGATAACTCTCGATTTTCACTTTCTTAAATGTGCAGTGTAAAGGGTTGAAAACATTATCGTTCCTCGTGGATTCTTAAATATTCTTTACAATGTTTTGGCCAAATCAGAAATCCTGTTGTTGAGGGCAATGAAACAAACAACCAAAGCCAACAATGAACACGCTCAATATCAACGCCAGAAATCTGTCTAGTAGAGCATTAAATTAAAAAGGAAATAATAAGATATGCTGATGAGGTTTATCTGCGTACTTTACGAGATACCAAGAAAAAGCCAAAATGACTGGTGAAATGATAGTTTGGTTTTCTACTTTTTCCAAAAATTCGGGATGTCTCTGAATATTTGACGCCATTTCATCAACTGGTAACGTAAATATATTTGCCTCAAATTGTCTCAGAATTTACAATATCAAATATGAATGTGCAATGTGCAATTGTTTCATCATTCCATAAATAAGTCCCATCCGGAAAGTAAAAATGGCCGCGGTACTAGACATTCCATGGGGACGTTACAAAAGGCGATCTTCACGGTCTCGGTAGAGATAGGAAAGCAAGTGCGCGAAGTTTCATTTTATGGTCTAAGGAAATCTTTGCAAAGAGGAGGCCGACGACCAGATTCCCAAAGGCCACTCTTAGGACTGTGACGCTTGTAATTAAGTCATGCAGCCTTTAAGGTCGGGTAATGGTCTAAGACACAAAATGATTTGTAAAGATTTTCAAAAGAAACTTGAAGGCGGCAGTCATGTAAATTGTCGGTAATAGATTGTATAAACCACGAGTAATAAAAGTGAAGAAGAGACGATCTCGAAACCATAGTTTATTTTTCTGACGTTTAATACAAAGGTGTACAACCACAATTCTGCCTCTGCAACGTCAAAATATCCACATACAGCAGTGGAATATAAGAAGCGACTTGTAAAATGTGAACGTTCTCCGTTTAATCTGAAAGAACTGTGCTCATGGACATTCTTATTCGATAGAAGGACAACTAAGTGGAGATGATTTAGAAGTGACTACGTGAAGCAATCAAGGCAAGTGCGCATGTCCGATCCATCCTTCGGCAAGACAAGGCACCAACACCCAGGAAACTCACGAGGAGGGACCGCCAGTACGATTCATCGGACACGCTGTTGATGTCGACAACAGGCTATTAACATAATCCCTACGCCTACCTAACCTGACACCGCGTGATCTCCCGCCTCTTTCCATAAGTGAACACACAGTTAAGGAATAAAGCACTGAGACTCTGAAGGCTCTTGCATAAAAATTGCTGCAGCGATTGTTGCAGGAACCCGAATACTAACATGATATGTGCCGCATCACTCCATGCGCATACGCTGAATACTTGTAATAATTTCTGAACATCTTATGATCACAATCCGACATACGCCTTTGTTTGATATTTGTAGAATAAAATTAATTGTGTTCGTAATAACTCCCATTGGTTTTACTTCTTTCCAGCTAAGGTTTACTTTCCCGGGGGCATCTCAACTGATTTCAAATTAATATGGGCGCCCTGTAGTGATAATGGCTTTGAAGCAAACGAATAAACTCACTTTTCTTTCTATGTTGCAAAGCTCTTCGCCATATTTACTTACTGCTGGGCTGTGGTATGTGTTTATAACTGCACAGGGTAGTTGAGTTATATGAATACGAAAATATCATTAAAGCCGCTAACTTTCTGACCACTTTGTTTCTTAATAGCCCATTGCCCGAAACTAGACCATAGAAAAATGTGCTTAAAAGATTACATAGCAAACGTTTGATAGGTTTTCCGTTGTAGATTAGAGAACATTCGCGAAGGGCAGGAAAATGTCGGAACGTTTTGACGAACGGTACGCTGCATACTTTATAACTTCGTCTGACTGCAGCAAATTAACTCATTCAGAAATCAAACTATGTAGAGAGAAAATGTCTGATTGTCTACACAATGTTGCATTAACGATTTTCAAATTGGTGGACTCGCATTGAATACATGTTGCACTCCTCTCAGCAAAAAACACACGAGTGCGGAAAGTTAGCACAGGTCAGCTGTTATCATATATGTCTGTGCGAACATGAGGTTGTGCAGTTGCACGCACATTCTGAATGGTAAAAGGCGTTTTTTAGGATAAACTAGGAATGTAATTAAAATTGCCTACGTGCTGGTTGTCCAAAATTGGCTGCCTCAGTTTCCGCCATCCTGTTACACTGAATTGCACCACTTGACAGTTCGACCATCGATTTCGATGATGCCCACCGTGTGCCCCACAGCAGGTTGGAGCAGGGACGGTGACTTGCGCAGGGGTTTATATTGCCAGTAGACTTGCGCTGCATCTACCTACACTCTCTCCACCTCCCTCGCCCGAGCCCGGTGTCAAGACAGAGTCAAGAAGACCGGAGACGAGGTAGGCCGCAGGTAGATGGCTCGGACGGATCCTCACCTTGGCGTTCCACCACACCCCCTGGTCCACACAACAATAACCAGGATTTCAACCAACACAACAGAGATTTGGAGGCTGGCACGGCCGAAACCGCACCTGGCCGTGCCGCCAACGCCTGGCTCGGATTCCACACTGTGATGGGAGTGCCATAAAGGCCACATTAAAAAGAAGCCATTGCAGCCTGACTCTCAGACCGCTTCACGTTAAGGGGGAGGTCCAGTTGGCAACCTTCCAAGCCACGGCTTTTAGCGCACCGTGATAGCTTCAAGCGCGTCAGATTGATTATAGTGAGGAAAAAGTGCGCTGAGTCGTCGACCTCACTCTCCTTTCCCATTCCCACACCCCAGCCGCCGTCCGAGCCGGTCGGCAAACTGGAGTGGTGGATGGGCGCGGTGGCTGCCACGGTCGACTGACCGTGACTGCGCGCGCCATAGCACGACCTGGCCCCCCATACACACACAAACACCAGGATTTCACACAACGGGGGTTGAACGGCGTGTCTCTCACTTGCGTGAGAGGGCCGTGGAAGGTGCTTCTTCAGCCCGTTCCCAGCCCACCAGTCCGCCACTCCACACAGCACACACACAACGCGACGAACTGCGTGAACCGAGAGCGGGAATCAATCAGCAACGTTCCTATCCACGACACTTGAAGTGTCGGGATAGTCTCGGACTCAAATCAGCCGTACAGCCGAAGCCGCGTGGGAACCGAGTCGAGATGCACACTTCCCACTTGCGTGGAAGGTGGCAGTTGGTGCATGCGGTGGGTAAGTATTGATGTGTGTTGGTGATGGTGGAGGAGGGTAGGGAGTGTGTGGATGTGTGGTGTAACCGGCGGTTGTCTACCGCAGGTCGTCGTGGATGCGCATGTGGCCGAATAGACCCATGCGATGCGTGAAGGTGCGAGGGCAGTGTGGGCAGTGGAGGCGAGTGCGGTGGGCGTAGGTTGGTGCTTCAGGCGCTGGTTCGCCGGTCTCTGTGCGATGGATTCGCAAGTGACCGACCAGGCCGATGCGTGAGGTGAAGGTGCGATCGCAGTGGGGGCAGGTGTAGTCCTGATTCTCATTGCTGGAGTCAGGAGAGGCGGGGGTGGTGCCGGTTGTTGTGTCGCGGTCGGAGATGTGCGAGACGGCTGCCTGAGCGGCCGCCGTTGGGACAGTGGTGGTGGTGGTGGGGGTGGTGGTGGAGAAGGAGGAGGATGAGGAGGAGGAGGCAGAGGAGGCAGAGGAGGCGGAGGAATTGCACCACTTATTTAGCACAAGAAAGACTGGTTGGAATCAGAGATGTGTGTACCTTCGTTATATTTACACACTCTCCCGCTGTTGTGGTAGTCACAGTCTCAGCGACATTGCATACCCCTTGCAATTTCACAATTTAATAGCATTGTGTGTTTTACAGTCTAGTTAGTTACGAGGAAAACTATTAAATAATGGCGTAGTACCTTTCAGGGTCATAGACCACCGTCAGTAGGTCCTCGAGAAATAATGCCGAAAAAGTCTGACGAGCACCCGCATGACAATGCTCGGCCTATTTGCCGCCGTCAGCAGATGGACCCACGCTTACCTGCGGCTGATGCACGCGCTGTGTGAACTCGAGTCCGCACGCTGTACTGCGTAGAATAACATGATCGACAAAGACAGAGAAGACCGGAATGACTAGTTCTGGCTTACTGGTCATCTTCAGCCAATTACAGCCAACCCGAAGTGTGGAACTCCCGAGGCTCGAACTCGCAACCTGTTAGTTAGAAGTCCAAGGCCTCTGACCGGTGGACCACGGGCCCGTTGTCCTGTCGGCTGCGATCGGGAATATGCGATGGTTGAGGAGCGCTCACCGATTGTTTTCACGGGACTCATTCGTCCTCTAGTGCCTATATTATGCGACGCTATGCGGCTGCTTGTTGGGCATGAAAGAGAGCTCCAAGGTACACCGGGACGTGGGAAATTCGTAAATTCACCAGTATTGAATGCTTTACGTTCACATCACTGTGGAAATCGTGCACATCGGTCAACCGTTGTCATCGGGAAACCGAAAATTCACAATGGAATAACGTAAATAGTACACATTTCAGTAATGCAACAAGGGCTTTTGACAGATGAGATAACTTATTTATAGGGGTATACGTAACAGCTTCGCAAATAAAGTGAGCAAAAGTAAACGGCCAAGTAGCCATGTGAATGCAGGAAAATTGAACTAGTCTTTAAACGTATATAACATATTTAACGCAATTTTCTCCAAAAGTCATCTACGCAATGGCAAAACTATTAAACAAGTTGAAGGACGCGTGCTACTTTGGAGATATTGTCCTTTCATAGGTCACTTTTAATAAGACTTATAGGGTTCTCCTAGGTCTAGTGCATTGTTTTTAGAGTGCGTAAACTGATATGGCATGGGACTTTCAAAGTCTTGTTCAAACTTTTTTCATACAGCAAGTAAATCTTAAATTCACCATTGTGTTTTACCCGCGGCCAATCAAAACACGTGTGCGTAACTGCAATGCGATAAGCACCTATCCCCAACAAACTCCTTCTTCGCAACTGAATGAAGTTAGACTATCAGAGGTGTCAGTGATTCTCATTCGCAATCGACGGTGACATTTTAATGTTCTCCCTCGTGAAATCACACCTGCAGTTGACACGCAGCCCGCTCGACAACGGAACCCGTGAAAGTTGAGGTTTAACATGCCCAAACACTAGGGAATTGTGCAGATGCACTGTGTTCTCAATGTCACAAAATCCCTTACCACGTTCAGTGTTCGGATTGTCGGAAATCGTCTTAAAAGTTACTTGCTGGTAAATATTATTTGGGGCTACAAAATAAACTCGAACGAACCATTGCAGTTGCCTATTGCCGGGCGCCGCTCACAGCGTATAGATCCAACAATAGCTGACATTTTAGATGTTGCCTTACGGTTTATGACCATGAGGAGATGTATTAAAGAAACTTCTGAGGGAAGAGATATGAGTAATGAGGGCATTTGTATTCGTGGAAATGTTGCTGGATTCAACTGTAACCAAGCAGTGATACATGAATGCCCCTTTCAATCAAATGCGATACAAGAGCTTCGGCCGGACGCAGACATGCGTGCAAATTTTGGATTGTGTTTGGCCTAGTACTTGGGACTATTGTCAACAATTAAAAATGCCCTTTCGATCTTTTGAGTTTTCTGTGCCGTGATCAGACAAATCTTGCCTAATAGTTTCAAAAGAAACCTACTATTTTTGCAAGTATTCAATAAACCATGCTATCACTCAAACACAAAATAATATTGCATCCGGGAGGGGGGGGGCAAGAGCAAACTCCATGGATTCCTGCATACGACGCACAGGCTATTTTGATCCTCGTCCTGAAGTACCAGTCTTACAAAAACACTTCTAGCAGAGTGAAAAGATCCACAGTTCCTGCAGCTGCAGCGCTGGCGCATTTCCATAGGTGCAGAATTTGTTTTCGGCAGGGGAGTGGCGCTATCTTCCACACACTGTTTTGATATAGTTGTACGATTGTTGATGCTGAAACGAGACACATTTCTCGACGTACTAGTTGCATCACGTTGCAATCGGGAAATTTAAAATTGACGTAGGGATAGAGTAGCATAATTAGCACTTCAGTAGTGTAACTACAGCCTATGAGAGATGAAATAACCTATGTCTATAAGGGTATTTACCACAACTACACAAATGAGTAGACCAGTGGAAGATTGCTAATTTACACTGTGGATATAAACATAATTGAAATGGCCTTGAGATTAATGTAGATTTCCCATCATAAATAACGTGATTGCCCTAAAAATAATTTGCATTTGAGCAAGCCTATTAAATACGTTGAAGGAAGCATGTGATACTGGACATTTCGTAGTTTCACGGATCCTTCTTCAGTAGACTTTTTTCGGTCTACTGCAATTTCTGCAGGACGCAAAACGGCATGTTGTCTGGATTTTCAAAGCTTTGTTCAAACAACTTTCCCATACAACGAGTTAAAGTTAAATTCACCGCTGCATCTTTCCTGTAGCTAATTAAATCAGGTGTAACGCTTCTGCAACTCAATCAGCATACGACCTACCTAGACAAATCCCAAACACTTAAATCAGCTTTGTAGCGGAGAAACAGATAATGAAACCCCATTAAAAATATATCACAAAATTTCATCAGCTTGCGAATTGTCCAGTCAACAATCAAGAAATATGGTATGCATTAGGAGGAGGCCTTGAACACAGATAATATTAGCATCAGGCAGCGATGTAGAAATTGCTATTCAGGAGAAGTAAACACAGACACTAATGATGTCTGCTTAGCACCATCTTTAACATTAAATGGAAAAATATGATAAGCATCTTCCCATGACAAAATCTTCCCTTCCAACCTAAATAAGTTGCATTATCAAAGATGTCAGTGATTCTCATTTATAACCAGCGGCGAAATTTTAATGCTGTCCGTCTCGAAATCACGCCCACCATCGACACAAAGCTCGATCAATAAAGGAAAATCCGCGAAAGGTGGGGTTTTGCATGTCGACTCTATGGAATGGGGCAAATCCCTCACGGAGTATACTCTCGCTATGTGAGATAAAAAGGTTTCCTACCCTTCTTTAAGGCCGGCCTCTTTCCGTTAGATCCTGGACAATAATTTGATTCAGAGAGCTAGGCCGGTTCTTCTTCCTCACCGAGTAAACTCAGCGTCGGGCTATCTCCGTACGGCCTTCTTAAGTTAGGTGTGGTTGTGTGGTCCTGAGCTCTGCGATTGTGATAACGTAGGACTTCGTAATCTGCAGGAAGGCCCAGATGCCTGTTGATAGAGTGGGCATCGGAG